CCCTGTAGGTAAATCTATGGAGGAGAAGGGGCATGGGGGAGGGAAGGAGTGTGGTAGCGCAGATCAAGGCTGCTACAGTGAGGGAGGGAACGGGGCAGGGGCTAGGGGCACTGCCCAGCCAGGGCGGTGCATGGGACGTGGGGCCGGGAGCAGGACAGAGCCCCAGGTGGCTCCCCCTCAGTGTGCACACCCTTCTGGGGGAGGCATGGGGGGCATATGTCCCACCAGGTTTGTGCACAGGGCAGATCCAGACTTCTCACTGGGGTTTTGGGCTCTCTGCTCTGCTGCCTTTCCCTCGGGAGCCCTGCACTGGCTGCATGCTCCCTGCCTGCTCGGCAACAATAAGGGCAGCGAGGTGTACCCTCCACTGCCGGGCAGGCAGGGGGTGCACAGCTAGCATGGAGCTCCCAGGGCAAAGGCAGTAGGGCAGAGAGCCCCGAGCCCACAGTGGGCAGTCTGCATCCACCCTTGCCCCACTTGGCCCTACTCTGCTTAGAATTGTGTCTACGCCTCAGAATGGTGGTGGTGATGCTTGAACTAAAGCTCATTTGATGAGCTTTAGTTCAAACATTGCCACCACCACCATTTTAAGCACTGGGACGCCGATACATATGATGCAGGAGGCTGCTAAAGTGCTTAAAAAAAAAAAAAAAAAAAGAAGAGAAAAGGTTAAATAAATCAGTTATCGGATCAGCATCGGTCAATATGGTTGGTTAATAATCGACTATTGGTATCGGCCAAGAAAATTTTTATCAGTGCATCCCTAGCAGTGAGCTGTCTTTCAAACCACAAAAGAGGGGTTGTGTGGGAGGGTTACACCCAAGCCTACTGAGTCCCGAATAGAATGTGCAGCTCCAATATCCAGTGGCCAAAATGTGGAAACCTATAAATAGGAGTAAACCTCAACATTCTCTGTCTATTCTCCAAACCACAAGCCTAAATGATCCAGAACACAGGTGGCTAAACAACCTGGGTTGTTACCGCTCAGTTCTAAACTACTGAAGATGATACTGGGAAGAGAGAAAAAGATTTTTTGTTTTTTACGTGACTGATATTTTAGAAATGGTTAACTTCATTCCACTGTCATTAGCTAGTCTTGAAGACTCATTCCATGTAGTTGGGAATTCTCCTTTCCTACTCTGGCACTACAGTCGCCCAGAAAACTGTGGCATTATATTTCATGAACGTGTGATTTTATCTTTCATATTATTTGCTGCTTCTTCAGTGGGAGCCTTTATATCAAGGAGAAAAATACTGTGCCAACCTTTCTTTTTATCTATCTGATGTGTTCAAATCTATTAAAAATGTAACAGCATTCTAAAAAGGATATTTATGGTCTTTTGCTTATAGACAAAAAGATATTAAGCAAACACCAATAAAGGACTAAAATGGAAACCTCTTATCAAAACGCAACTACAGAGCAATGAAGGGAACTGACAGAAGTGAACCAATGTGCATTCTATAGGCAGCTCGAGCCATTAGCAGAAGAACCAAACTTTGAGGAACTCCAAAGAATAACTTGATGAGGAAGGAAGAGCAGGCATGAGTACAGAGTGGGTACTGCCTATAACTTTGCTCTCTACAGCCAGTTCTAAGCTCAAAAAAAATACTGAGAAAAAACTGCTGCAGATGTAGTAGACCTTTATAAGGCTTATTGTTTTCTAAGAATGATAGAACCAGGCATGATGAGGACAGCTTATACCAATGAAAATACAGCTAAATATTTTTGAAAATAAAGATACCGAGGCAGCAAGGGTGAATAACGAGTTGAGAAGTTTTTGTAAGAAACTTCAGGAAGTCCATGAAAAACCAAGTACAGCAAACATAATGAAATACCAACTACTTCACATAGCTACAAGAATGGAACCACAGCCACACATCTATTATAAGTTTATCTTATGAGGTTGAACCCTGTGGTTAAGCAAGTCGAAGACAGAGAGAATAGGAAAAATATGCACTTGACATAAGGGCTTGGAGCACTCTGTGAGCATAGCCAAAGACTTCTAAGTTTTATACACACAGGCAATGAATGACAAGTAAATGCAATATCGATCTTGTTAATGGGAGATGAAACAAAAGTTTTAACTGAAAAAAATCTGAAAGAATATCATTCTGTGAAGTTAAACAGTCACCTGTTCCACAGCTCATTCTCTACACAGCGTTGATCAAAAATATTCCTTTGGATATCTTCAACCAGGAACATCACCACAGCCCTGAAACAAACACCCAAGAACTTCATTAGAACCTATGAGACTCAGCCTATACTCCATACTTCAAACCTCTCTCTATATTTTTATGTAAATTCACCTTGGTGGGTTATGCTCCTTGCAAGCCCTGCGAGCAGATGTTCTCTGCCATTTTTTAGCTGTTTCTAAGGAAAAAAAAGTGTGATGGAAGGACAGTGCCAGCTGCCATGTTCCTACTAGAATAGTATTTTTCCCCCAGCACGAATGGCAAAGATAGTAAGAAAAGAGGACAGCTATAAGAAGTTTTATAGCACCCTGAGTGTTCCAGAAGCCATTCTACATCATACCCCTTTCTTGTGCTTGTGAGCATCTGAATATCACTTTACATAAAGCAGTGTATAACACCCAAACCATTGGCCCCATGTTCTGAAAAATGGGAGTTTCTCCTTCTAAGATGGTAGCAGACTGATAGAAATACAGCATTTAAAGTGTGTTGAGTGCATCAAACAGACCTCTTTTAAGACAGGATGTCAAACATAGGGTCCGCTGGCCAAATCTGGCACATGGAACTATGTTATCTGGCCTGTGCCGTTCCTAGAGGGGTTGAGAATTCAAGGGGCAGGGCCTGCTGGCGCACCATGGAGTAT